TCATAAAACATCATCTTCTCAGACCTAGTATGAGCAGAAAGTGCATAGGATTGTCAGAGGAAACAACATGCTTGTTTTAATCTTGATCATATAAGCCAACTTTATATTTCTTCTTTTTACTTCTAACAGTTATCACCGTTCATTCACTATTGTCATAGGATTTGATTTAATCTCTTCTTTGTCCTACTGCAGAGAGTTCAAGATTTTAACAAGTGTCTTTTGTAAATTCAGTAAGGAAAAAAAATATCCAGGTCATTCTTTTCGTTTATCATTTGTATTTCCTTTTTAAATTTTAAAGTCTTAGACAATTTCTTTGATACATCCAGCAAAGCACTTTTTTCTAAGTTACTCTCTTGCCTGTAATCCCATTGTCAACACTACCGCTATTTTGTCAGCTAAGTTGTTTCACATCTGTCATTTCTTCAATAATAACTTTTATACATAATCTATCCAGATTAGCTGACATCATTACTGACATTGTTGAATTTGTGGCTATTATTTTCTGATTACATTTTCCAAAAGTCATCTTCAATATTTTCATTGTACAGTGGTTTTACAGGTTATACACCTTTCTTCTACCCAAATACTTTAGTCCCCTCTAGTGTCCAGTTGTTGAAATCATGAAATTATTTATAATAATAATGATGATGATGATGATGATGATAATAATAATAATAATAATAATAATAATAATAATAATAATAATGTTGGAAGGGAGTTTCACCTGTTCTTTCACGATATGCACATGAAGAAGAGGATCATTTCCAAAATATAAAAAAATAATTTGTATTTATGAGTGGATTTAACTTAAAACAGAAGCTCCCAAATCCTCTTTGAAAGAAATTGCTAGAAAAATGAAGCTACTGCCTTCTTTCGTTCTAAACCAAATGAATTAAAATAATATACATCCATTTACCTCTTTTGAAGATGGACAAAAAGGAAAACAAAAGATCCACTCATGCATCTCCTCTACCCAGGCGACTTGAGCAAGGATGGTGTTAAATTCATCTGTATGATTTCTGAGCTCAAAGATTGGGCAGTCTACTGGGCGGACAATGGTCAAAGTACTTTTTTTAAACCTATCTGCCTGTCCTTTTCTGAATACAATCATATGTGTTTATTAGTAGATGTGTGTATTTTATGTTTTGCCGTATGATCATTTTTGCAATAAATAAAAAGGCAGTTTGATCTCCAGTATAGGTAATCTTTGACTTACTACCACAATTAGGACCAGAATTTCCAGTTGCCAAATATCAATCACATGACTGTGTGGGTGCTCTGAGAGTTGTATGTGCAAGGACTGGTTGTAACTCATTTTTTTTTCAGTGCCATTGTAACTTCAAATGTGGCTAAACAAATGGTTGTAAGTAAAGGACGACCTGCATTGTTGCAAAACAGCTAGGAGTTTTACCAGATCATGCACAAAACAAAGTATGAAATAGTAGGATTAATCAGTTACTATTGTGAATTAATTCTAACAAAATCAGAAGCAAACAGCCTGAAACCAAAATTTGAATTTGCTATGAATGGGTTTGCATTTGATAGTCATCTTTACTAATTCTTCTTCTTCTTCTTCTTCTTCTTCTTCTT